TTCAGAAGTATCCTTATCTGGCAGGATCTAGTCGAGGAGCTGCTTTCTGGAAAATTGGGCTACAAAACACCCAAAGGAAGCTCAACCCTGGGCCCTTCCCAGCGCACCTATCCAGTGTTAATGCTAGTCCCTAAGTTGTGTCCAAACTCTTTGCGACTCCATGGACTGTAACCCGCCCGCCTCCTCTGTCCTTGAAACTGTCCAGGCAAGAATACTGGCGTGGGTAGCCATTCCCATCTCCAGGGGATCCTCCCAACCCAGGGACTGAAGCCCGGTCTCCTGCATTGCAGGCAGATTCTTTACCATCTGAGCCCCCAGGGAAGCCCAACTACTAAGAATCCACCTCTTTTCCTGCGGAGGGTGGGGGAGGGGGCACAGGCCATCCCTTTCTCCCAGCTCCCAGCCAGCAGCATTCCTGGGGGTGGAGGAAGACCTTGGCAGGCAGGCCCTCGGGCCTGGTGCTGAAAACTCTCAGTACGACAGGCCAGTGTCGGTGGGTGAGCTAGTTGGAGGCAGAAAAAGAGAGAACGGGCGAGGGTGGGGAGGATCCTGTAACTGGTCCAGGCTCTGGAGGGTCAAAATCATATTTATCAAAGCTCCAAAGAGTGTTCCAAGGATTTGCAAATTTATTTCTATGAAGATCATTGCAAAGATAAACAAATTCAATCACAGTTGTACATTTAATGAACTGTCATTTTGGGGGAAATGATTGCAAATTACATATAAAAAGAGACAATTCAGGAAAAAAAAATCAGGGAGGCAATGATTAAATATTTATAATGCAGACTGCCTTGGAAAGGCTGGGTTGGAAGGTCAAGATGTCTTCTGGGAAGAGGATCTAGCCCGACTAGCATTGGTTCAGCCAGCCATCCACACGTGAGGTGCACCTTGACTGAGCATTCATTATATGTCAGGGGTTTTCCAGGAGACTCCCACAACCACCCCAACTTACAATTGTAAATTGTATTTAGAATTCCCATCTAGAAATACATCAGTGCACTGAGGCTCAGAGAGTTCTGAAGTGGCCAGTTTAAGGTGGCACAGGTAGGAAGTGGCACCCACGTGCCCTGAGCACTGATCCTGTCAGGTACCGAAGGTCCGCAGATGAACAAGGCAGGGCCCCAGGACTTGAGAGGCTCACAGTCTAACCGGCCATAAATTTATAAGTGTCAGGAGCAAAAGGTCATCTCTTCTAGTGATTTCGAATTCTTTTCAAGTGAAGGACACTTTCTCCTTGAAATCTTAATGTGAGACACCAGCGTGCAAAACAGAAGAAAAGGGACCTTGCTTCTGGCTAATGCATGGAAGGAGATGTCCTTCCCTCTTCCATGGTCTTTAGGAGCAGGAACTGCCAGCCTGAACTGAGACCCACTGAGTCCCCCTAAACAGCTCATTTTACAGGTGGGAACACTGAGGCCTAGAGAGGGAAGGGGACTGTCAAGATGGGCAGGAGCAGGAACTGCCAGCCTGAACTGAGACCCACTGAGTCCCCCTAAACAGCTCATTTTACAGATAGGAATACTGAAGCCTAGAGAGGGAAGGGGATTGTCAAGATGGGCAGGACTGGGGCTCGGCTCCACGGACTCGTGTTTTGGGGCTCCTGGCTTGGCCTGAGTGCCCCCAGGATGCCAAAGCGTGGCTTCCCACTCCAGGTGTCTGCACCCAGTGGCTGGGGCACAGTTCCCGGGTTGCCCAACCGGCCACGCTCAGTGAGTTTGGGGCTTTCATGCCAATGCAACATTGTTTACAATGACAGAGAAAAATAACGTCTAAGAACCCTTTGGAGGAGAGGTGAGTATTTTCAGAACCATTTGTGCTAGACCCTCAAACACCAGGCGAGTAGAAAGGGCCCTGACCTCAAAGTCAGGAGGCTTCGTTCAATGGCCAGTTCTCTGACCACCAGTGGCAGCTGGTCTGTGGTTCCTCCTCACTTTTCTCATCTATAAAATGAGTGGTTGGAGTACAGGGAATTCTCCACAAGATTGCTGCCACTTTGGACAAACGGGGAATCTAGAACCTTTGGGGCCAGGCCACTTCTGGGTTTATGACAAGCACAGATGTGAGAATGGACCATAAAGAAGGCTGAGAGCCGAAGAATTGATGCTTTTGAACTGTGGTGTTGGAGAAGACTCTTGAGAGTCCCTTGGACTGCAAGGAGATCCAACCAGTCCATCCTAAAGGAAATCAACCCTGACTATTCTTTGGAAGGACTGATGCTGAAGCTGAAACTCCTACACTTTGGCCACCTGATGCGAAGAGCTGACCCATTAGAAAAGACCCTGATGCTGGGAAAGATTGAGGGCAGGAGGAGAAGGGGACGACAGAGGATGAGATGCTTGGATGGCGTCACTGACTCAGCGGACGTGAATTTGAGGGAACTCTGGGAGATAGTGAAGGACACGGAAGCCTGGTGTGCTGCAGTCCACGGGGTGACGGAGAGTCAGACACGACTTAGTAACGGAACAACGACAGACGCCAGTTGGTCTGCCGTGGCCTTGACACCATCTGCACTCCTTCCTGGGGACTGCTCACCCTTCTTCGCAGCCCCCACCCCACACACATTTCCTCCCTTACTGGCCTCACCCCAACACACCCCCTCTCCTCCGTGAAGCCATCTCCCTCTCTGTCTTCCAACAGGCCACAATCTCAGCTCCTTCCTTGCTTTCATCATTGGATGAAATCTCAGGAGGGATCCCAGAAGCCATCTGCTCTGGCCCCTAGTGGTGCAGGCGGCGACACTGATGTCAGACGAGGCAGGACTTCCCCGGGTCCATCCAGTGAGAAGGAGCGAGTCTGGCTGTCTGGAACCCAGATCACTTTCTCTAGTCCAGGACTAAACTCTCGCGGTTCCTGACTTTTGCCAAAAAGTACTTTTTGCCTAATACATTTAGAATTGGGTTTCCCGATTATGGGGCATCAGAGATTCTCAAGGAAACTTTACGGGGGCCTTTAATACCCCCAATGGACCTCCCGGGGAGGAGGGGTGGACGTCCCTTTCCAACTCTCAGTCCTTTTGATCTGGAGTCTTGGTTTATTGCTGCTGTGTCCTTAACACTTTTTTTTCCTTGTTAAGCTTTTCTTTTTCAGAGACAGAGGGGCCTCTGGCTCCACACCTTCCCTAGGCATCAGTATCTTGTTGGAATTTTTTTTTTACTGTGGTTAAATATACATTGCTAGAATTTAATAACACTATTTTATTTTCACTGTCTTCATTTTTATGGTTACCTCCTATTTATAGTAGCATGATGCCCGTTTTCCATTTATGGTAATGATATAACATTTCTTTGTAAAAACAAGCACATTTAAGTTTAAAAAAAAAAAGGGAGAGAGCGATAAAACAAACAAACAAAAAGCCCAAGAGCTGATTTAAAGAAAGCTATTAAGCAAATGGTTCTGTCTGGTGTGCAGATATGGCCAGATTATCCACGGAGGCAGGAGAAGGGCTGAGGTCTGGGAAACTCTGACTTGGAACCAGAGCTCTCCTTCCAGCTGGGTGTCCGAATGTCCAAATGGCCTGCTCCGTCGTCCTCTCACTGCTCCCTTCTCCTGCTTCGCCCTGCCTCCTTCTGCCAATCCCCGGGACCCTCAGAAACTCCATCCCTCCCTCCTGGTGCCTCTGGCCCCCACCTCCCAGGCCCCCAGCACCCTCATGGTAGGTTCACGCTTTCTTCCTCTTTAAATTTATGTGGCGCCTCGCATCCAAGGAGGCCCACACAGCCGGCCTCTTCCAAGAGCATTCCAGAAACAGAGAGCCTATGGGGTTTCTCAGTGCAAAGGGTCAGCCTCTCCCCCAACCCTGTTTTGGCAGCTGAAGGGGTGAATGTGGAGCCTGAAGCCCTTTCAAGTGTTCTTTGTCCTCGTTTTACAGACACTGCACTAGTAAAGCTTTTTCTTCCCTTGGGTTAGGCGTTGCTCACTCTGGGTCCATTTAAAAACTGTGGATCCAGGTTTTTTTTTCCTCCCAGTCACTCCTCTAAGGTATTAGCCTCACCACGATTTACACAGTGAAATAGTTGAAAGGACCAGACATCTTCGAAGTCCTTAGAAGGATGTATCCTTTTCCTGGAATGTGGGCAAGGAAAGGCAGCGACTTCCTGCCCCTTGCAAACACTGCCCGATGGCCTGACATCACCAACATTCCTATCCAAGACTGGAGTAGGTTCAACTCCTATCAGTCACTCACCCCTTAGTGCGAATCAGTTGACCAAGGGGCCTCCCGCAGAGCTTGAGGGTGTTTCAATGTCCAGGCAGCCAGGCACTGGGTATGGATGCTTCAGAACTGCGACTCCAAAAGTTGTTGCCCAGGGAAAAAGAGTTGGGCAACCCAGGCCCCCTCTCCTCTGGGGGGTTAGGGGGCACTTTCACTTGGGCTGTCTGCTTTGGTCGGCTTCCTTGCCCATTTTGTCCGGGGCAGGCAGGGGGGTGGGGTGGGGGGCGGGTTTAGCTACTTTACAGAAAAGGTTCAGAGGTTAAATGTCTCGGTGAAGTCATGTGTCAGTGGCCGGAGCGGGGGATGTGGCTGAGGCCGTGGTACAAAGATGAACAGATAAGCCCTGAGATGGAGACACAGGTCTGGCCTTTTGAAATCAAGTCATTTGCTTCTGGTCTGGGGTCCGCACCCCCCAGCCCCCTGGACCACCCCACCCCCCACTTCCTGCAGCAACCCCTCCAGGTGTCTCTTTTAAGGACAGAGTTCAAAGCAGCCCAGGGAGAGTGAATCCCCCCTGGCTTTCAACAGGTCCTTCCAGGGCAGCGGGAAGCCGAGGAGCCAGGTCCCCACGGAGGATCATCCCACCCCCAGCCCTGAGGTCCGGTCAGGGACGTGGAGGGGGCAGCGTGGAAGTTTCCCTGGAACGCATCCCCTGTCTAGGGTACCCCTCTCCCCACACCCCCAGCGGATCTCCTGAATTCAGAGGAACCAAGGGCGGGGAGGCGGGCAAGAGGGAAGGAAGGGGAGAAGAGCAGAGGGAGGCCCCAGGGGCCCCCGAGGCGAGGCCGGGATGCCGTCCAGAAGGCAGGGACCGAGGCCGGCAGGGAACGAGGGGGGCCGGCCCGCCGGAGGAGACGTGCCTTCACGGCAGCGGTGGCGGCGGCGGCGGCGGCGGCGGCTGGAGACTGAAGGGGAGGAGGTTCGGGGAGGGGAGGGCGCGCGGGCGAGAGCGAGGGAGGGACGGAGCGGCGGCGGGGAGGTGGGGCCGGCGGGCGGGCGGGCGGCTGCAGCAGCCGCCGGCGACTCCGGGGCTCCAGGCTGCGGGGCGGACGCAGCGCTGAGCGATCCACCGCGGAGCCGCGCGAGGCCGCCCGAGCCCCGAGCCCCGAGCCAGCGCCGCGGCCGCAGCCGCCGCCTCGCGCCGGTCGGTCTCCGGACGCGCCGCCGCCGCCACCGCCGGGAAGGCAGCGGGCGCCGAGCAAGTTGCGAGCGCGCCTCTCCGCCCGGGGGAAAGTTTCCCCCGCGGCCGCCGACGCGAGTTGGCGCGGGGTCCGGCCGCTGCGGCTGGAAGGTAGGGGCCCCGCACCTCCGCGCCCTCCGCGCGCCCCGCCGCCGCGCCCCCCGGGGGACTTGGGGACCCAAGTGCGCCCTCCCCGGTGTGGTAGGGGTTGGGGTGGAATGGGGCGGGGGGCTCCTAGGATGGTTCTGGGGAAGCCCGGGAACCGAGTTCTACTTCGGCTAGAGGCTGGGGAAGGGGCGGGGAAGACGTGCTCGCCCGCATCCGCGCTCCGAACCCGCCGAGGGCCGGCGGCGTCCCCCGGGGACAGGTGCAGCGCGGCCCGGCGCTCCGGGCCGGGTGAGTGGGGGGCGCCTGCAGAACGGCGCCGGGTGGGGGGCAGGTGTGGTTACGAGGTCGGGGGGCTAGGCGAGGGCTGAGACCGGAGGGGAGGGGGTGCGCGCTACGCCGCTCTGTAAGGGGATGGGGGGCGGCGCAGGTAGGGACTAGGGATTAGGAGCGAGGATCAGGGCTGTGGGGATTGCCCGCCCCAGCGGGGCCACTGAGGGCCGGCCGTCTTCAGGGTCTCTGGGAGCGGGGCGGGGGCGCCACGCTTTTCTTCCGGGGGGGGTCCCCCTTTACTCCGAACGCGGTGTGTGCGGTTTGGGGAAGCCGAGACTCCGGTAGGTGCTCGGTGAATCCGAAACTCGAGCACATCCAGATTTAGGGTCGCAGCGGGAGAACGCTTGGAGGGTTGGCGGGCACGGGTGGGTTCGCGCCGGTTTGGCGTCCGGGCCGGATTGAGGGGAGTTGGCTCCCGCCAGGGGGCGCCCTTCTCTGGCCCTTTCACCCCTAGAAAGGCGAGTCCTGGTTCCAGAGAGACAAACGCACGGAAATGCAGGACCTACAGACCGCAACCACAGGCCAGCCCCCCCCCCAACGCCCGGGGGACCCCCCCTGAGGAGCACCGCACCCCAGGCGGGATGGGGGAGAGGGTTGGAGTGTGAAGCTAGGGTGCCCCCAGTTATAACTGTGCATTGGAAAGCTTGGCTTTCAGAAGCTGGTTTTTCTTGGGCGACCTGGCAGGATGTCTGGATGAGTAAAAAAAATTCACCCTCAGAAAAACAAAAAGGAGGGGAACTTTACATTAACAGCAAATCGGTGTGAAATGATTGGATGGGAGAATTAACTTTCTGAGGTTTCCATGGAGCCTGAAACCTAAACGGCTGAATGCACCCTTTTTGTGAAAGTTGTACCTTTGTTCCAGGGATCTGGCCAGATCCCTTTCTGGTGTGTGTGGTGTTGAGGGTCTTGGGGTGTATCCTTTCTCTGGGCACAGGGTGGGGTTGATGGGGGCGCCTTAAAGACTTTAGCAGTCCAGTGGTGAATTTCTCAGTCAGCAAGAGCCCCTCCTCTTGGGGTCTGGAGTCCACAGGCCACATTCATCCTGTCATTTCACAATTATTGGTGGAAATCTGCTGTGTGTCCCACTGTGGGACCTCAGGGCCCCTGTGTGTTGAATCTGTGAGTCTGTGCTAAGGCCTTGGGAAGCAGAAAGCTGCTGGCTTCTGTGAAGAGCATCATCTTTGCCATGTGTGGGACTGTTCAGCATTGAAGGGACACCATAGGGACTGTGGTCGCATCTTTCTCTAATTCTCTCCCTCCTCCCAGCACTCTGAGTGAGTACAACTGAGCAAATCTAAGAATGTGCAGTGGCCTCGTAGTGGCCGGTGGAAATTTTCATCTTGGCCCCAAACAGTGGCTCACTGGGCAGCCCCCCCCACCCCCGCCTCCTTCCTTTCGTGTCCCTAGAGTCCCCTGCAAAGGTGATAGAGACCGGGTGGTCCTTGAAAGAGAGCTGAGGTTCTTGCTTTCGGTATAGCAAATGTTTTTTATTGGATGCTCTCAAATTGCTGTAGGACAAAGTTGCCATGAAGAAAGAGCAGCATGGTTTTTATTTTGCACAGAGGAGGACATGAAGGGAGGAGACAGAGGAAAGGGTGGAGAGGCCTGCTGTCTCTGGGTTTGTCTTCAAGACATTCCATGGGGCCAGAAAACAAAAGGAGTTGTTTTGTTTGTGTTCAGTTTTGTTTTTTATGACTCGTTTTTCTGCCGAGGGAAGCCTGCCCCGAATAGCCCTGCCCTTGGAACCTGGGAGTGAGCAAGGGGCCCCCAGAGGGCTGGCAGGTCTGCCTTCTACCCATCCTCCCTGCCCACCCCCTTCACAGCCAACCTGCCCCGAAAAGAGGAGGGGATTGAAACTCCGAGGGCATCTGATGTCCATGTTTGAGTACCATGTGTGGGCTCAGTCTGCTCCCTGGGAAACTCTAAGATCTCTGATCCAGTAGAATTTCAGGTCTCCTGGTCCAACAGTCCCCAGACGCATTCAAATGGCAGACCTGTGGGGTATCTTTACCCAGCCCGAGGCTGAAATGGCAGTATATGGATGAAAGTTCCAGGCCACTTTTTAGAGGCATCGGTTCATCTGGAGTAGTAGTTAGGACACCTTGGGTTGTTCCAGCAAAAACTGGCCCCCTGCCTCCTTTCAGAACTGCCTAGTCAGCCGGGAAACAGCTACCTGAATTACTGAATGAGTTTTTAATGGTCTGGGGCCAGGGTGGGGTTGGGGGAGACAGAATGGAGATGGAGAACAGGATAAACCTGTAAGATGAGTGTCGGCCCAGGAGATTCTGAGGAGGCCTTGCAACGTAAAGTCAGGAGAGTCTGACATTTCAGGGCGCTAGGCAGCCCTGTCTTCCGTCCAGCGGGGGGCACCTCTCCTGGCCATGTCTTGCTCCGCTCTGCCCCCGCACAGCAACGTGAACCAGGAGCCTGTCAGCCATCAGACTATGGCTTGGGGACACAGAGGGTGATGTTGTGACCAGTTCCTACTGGGCTCCTCATTTCTGCCTGCAGGCTTGTCCCCTGCCTTTCTCTGGATGTCTGTCCAGCTTTCACTGTCTGCTCTTTCCCGGGAAGAGCAAATGGTGGCCCCTCTTAGGGACCCCCTCTTTCCAGAGGGCTTCTTTTCCGGTCTATTTCATCAGCCATTGAGAAGAAAAACCAGGAACATTTGTTCATGCTCAGCTGGGACACAGCAAAGGGAGGGGGCCCTTTGGAAGCCAGCACTTTGGTCCCCCAGAGCAGATGATGGGTTGATGGGTATTTTCGCAATCTGATGCTGTTAAGTAACCCGCCAGCCTGGGCTCCTCCTGCTGCATGGGCTGCCACCTTGGACCCGCATCAGCGCTCTGCCCTGGGTGGTTAGGGGATAGAGTGTGCAGATAATGAAACGCTGATTAAGAATAGAGGGAGAGAGAGAGATGAGCCCCAGTGTTTGCAGCTGGCAAAGCAGATCTTTCATCTCGGCACTTGTTATCTTAAGGTCCAGCCCTTGCCCCTTGTTGGTACGCAAGACTACTGGTTTAATTAGTAATTAAACCACTTGGAGATGAGCAAAACCATGTGCGCTAGTCGAATGCGTGTGTGTACTTACTGATTGGCAACAGGATGCAGTGGAAAGGTCACTGGACCAGCTGGATCAGGAGTAAGGAGACCTGTGTTCTAGCCCCAGTTCTATTACAGCTGGAGCTGTGGGACCTCGAGTGAGTCACCACCCCTCTCTGAGCCTCAGTTCCCCCATCTCTCTAGACACAACATGGTGAGGCAGTTAGGCTGCCTGGGTTTGAATGTCAGCTTTCTTCTACTTATTAGCCATGTGACCTTAGGCCATTCAACCTCTGGTGCCTCAGTTTCCTGATCTGTAAAATGGGACTAATAACACTCCCTCAGATTGTTGCGAAACATCAACAAGATAAAACATGTGAAACACTTAGCACTGTGCCAGGCAGGTAGTAAATGCTCGGCAGACGTTCAGGATCATCACTGTCATTATTATTACTCCTCCAGTTGCTGTTATTGTGAAATGGGGGGGATCAACGTTGATCCTTTCCAGCTCTGATATTTTGGGTCATGGTATATGTGTGTGTGTGTGTGTGTGTGTCTTTTGTGTCTTTTGAGATGGAAGACTAGGGTGAATACTTTTGTTGCTTGTTTTCTTTTTTCTTCCTTTCCCTACCTCACTGGAGGGACTCCTGAGTTAAAACCTTGTGCGTGTTCTCATGATAGCCCTATCCTTGTGGCAGGAAGCCCAATGTGACGTCACTGAAAATATCCTGCTTTCTGGCACTTGAGGGATGATATTTCATCAGCTAGTAGATGCCCATCCTTTGTCTCCCACCCTTAACCATAGTACGAAGACCATATGTGCAGATAATGAGTTTAAGCTGATAAACAACTCCCAGATTCACCCAAATAAAAGGCTATCCTCCTAGAAGACACTTTCGACTTTAAAATAAATAATCTGGCTCCTCGGCTGCATTGCACTGTGTCTGGCTGGCCCTGCTTCCCTCTCAGTGTTCTGCCCCTCAGTCTGTTGCGGGGACGTGGGCCGGGCCAGACCCGTGGTCTGGGCTATGTCAGCCATCCTGGCGGGGCAGCCTCTAGCGGCACCGCAGCCTCATCTCTCTCCAGCAGAGGCTGTTCTCTGAGCCATTCCAGCAATGATCTTCACGGTGGCAGATGTTTGGGGAGTGCTTACCGTCGGCCAGGACCTAGACAGTGCCTCATCTCACCTCCAACCCTGAAAGCTGGTTCAGATATCGCCCCCATCTCACAGATCAGAATGTAGGGCTCAGAAAAAGCAAGGCAGTAAGTGGCGGGGACTGGAACTAGATCCTAGGTCGATCTGTTTCACCCTTTTGTGCTTGAAACCATTCTGTGATGTTTCTCTCCCATCAGAACCGCCTGTGGAGCCCCAAAGCCCAGGAAAGATTTCCCTGAGATATGATCAGGCCTCCTCCTCCCTGCTTTTGCTCATCTTCCAGGCTCAGAGTGCTTTATGATATGCTCTTTTTTCATCCTGTGTTGATTACTCAGCCGCCCTGGGGATGCTGAGAGGTAGGAGATTTTGGGGACAAGATTGCTTGTAGGAAGGGGATGATCTCATTCAGCCACAGAAAGTTGTAGTTGACAGAGGATGCGTGTTGGAATCACAGATGTGAACTTGCTTCTTGTGCCTGCCGTTTATTGGCTCTGGCCTTGGTTTCCAGTGTCAAGCGAAGTAACACCGGCAACCGTAGGAGGTGACCCCAGACTCTCAGTGGCTCAACCGTGTAGGTTCAGTTCTCACTCATGCTACTCGTCTAGTGTGGATCTCTGCTCCACACGGTCACTTAGGGACCCCGGCGGATGGTGGCTCCACCGTCGTTATAGCTGCACATCCTGGGTGATGTGGCATCCATGGTTACTGCAGAAGGAGAGGAGAGCGATGGAGAAGGAAAAGGCCCGGGAAGACTCCACTGCCTCAACGGGAGGTGACACACGTCACTTCAGCTCTGGTGCATCAGTCAGAACTGTCACCTGGCCCCAAACCAGCTGCAAGGGAGACTGCTATTTACCGGGCACTAACTCCTTGCATTTCTATTTCCTGGATAGAGTGCTTTGAGGATTCACTGAGATGATGCATTTGAAGCTTCTAGCGTAGACCTGACACATAGTTAGTCCTTAAACTACACAGATGGTTCCTTTCCTTAATGATCCTTGATGTGCATTGCTCTTAGGAGATTACAGACCGTATACCTGGAAACGACCTCTGGGCAGATGATGTAGTGCCCATAATACACGGGAGCGAGGTAGGGCTCAGAGAGGCCAAGGGACTGGCCCGTGAACACACAGCAAGGGTGCAGAACCAGGCCCTTGACCTCCGCCCCAGAGCTCCCATGGCCTCCTTTGCCCTACTGAAATTTGCTGCTCTGAGGACTTCTTCCAAGACCCTCCAGAGCCTACTTCTTCTTCTGTCTCTTCTT